GGGGGGGGGGGGGGGGGGTAAAGCCGAGGGAAAGGAGTCGAGGCATTACCTGTAGCGACTTCGCCCTCGGTCTCCGCCTCGTCCTTGGGCAACGTTCGCCTGAGCATAAACTTGGCGTAGGCTACTCGCGTGGTGGCCGACACCTCGGATAGGTTGGGATTGTACTCGAGGATGCGTTGGGGATCGAGGGAGGCGAGGGCCGAGTCGCCCTGGTGTTGTAGATGACGACGTAAACTGCGCCGGTGCTGCTTGTCGACGGCCTCGTTGGAGCTGCCTATGGGATCCCGGGCGACCGTGTTCTGGCGCACGACCGCGTTCCAGTCCTTTTTCTTGCTGCCGCTGCTGCTCTTTCGGCCGATGGCCTTGGCGATCTGGGTAAACACGTCCTTCGGCTCCTTCTCGCTTTGGATCACCGAGCTCACGATACCCTCGACGATGCCGATCTGGAAGTCCTTCTGCAGGCGACGTTCCATCACCCGGCCTTTCTTGCCCGACACTAAAAGTCATTAATCGAGTGAATGAGTGAGTCGGGGCGCAAACGTTACTTCGTTAAATGGTGACGCTGAGGGCTAATTGCATCGGGAGCCTCGTCTTAGCAAATTTCTTTTTAAACGACAATCGGATTGTTTGATCATTGAGGAGGAACATAAGGGGGAAATAACGCGTCACTACTACTCACGGGATGTCTCCATCTTGTCAACGTTGGGCGTCTGCATGCCGTTCTGCCTCAGGATCTCGATGAGCTCGTACCTCAAGGTCGATATGTCCTGTCTAATCTCCATCACGTCGTCCTCCGTAATACCATAGTCGTCGGTCTTGCTTTGCTCGGCCGTGACGTAACGACGTATCAGGAGTCGCATCACTGTTTCGTGACGATCCTTTGCCTTCTCCCGTGACTTTTTCTGATCATACGTGTCAATGTGCATGAGCGAGTAGACTTTTCGTAGACTCTCGTTTATATGGGCTCATTGGTTATCACGAGAGCTCCACCATTTCAACGCCAAGTGGATTTGTCGAAAGCAATGTATTCTACGCGCGCGCTCGTAAAATAAAATTTCAGTCGAACAAGCTTACATTGTTTTCGGCAAATATTTTCAACGAATTCGTGGAACGAGGGATTCTAAAACCTTAATTCGTCAATTACAGCGGGAAATTTGTTCGGCGCTAATCGAATAAACGTTTATACGAGATTAATAAAATTAACTCGTTATTATCGTGTCATATCGTTGGAGGAGCTTTAAATTTTGAAATCCAATCATAACTTCACATTACGTATGAGAAGCTTCTGATGTATAGTCGAGTATAATGAAGGAGGCATATCGAGTGGCCGGGTAATGAGTAGCGCACATCGACGAGATGTCAAGTGGGCCGACGTACAACGTATAATGTAGAACATTCGAGCGTCGAAGTAATCCGCGCTAATAACGATAATAATAGTCTGGCATTTACCATCCCGATAAGAATAAAACGAGCGACTCACAATTACGGATCTCGTTGGCCTGCCCGACTTTCCGCACTTGATGATCCTGTCGAAGGTCTTGGCCGTTGGTATCATGTTGAAGGGAGGTGGTACCGTGTCGCCGTCTTCGAAGTAGCTCATCCACAGGTGACTCCGAGCAAATTTCCACTCGGTGTCTGCTCTTTCCTACATAATGCGAAAATCGGATCGCATTTTTATGCAAGACTGCACGCGCCGATTATTAAATTATAAAGGAGAGTATAAATTGTCTCGGGCTGGAACTTGTGCCTGGGCGGGACCCAGGCTTGGAGCATGAAAGTTGCATGAATTTTAAGTGCTGGGACAGGCGAAAATACGACCCAAGTTCGGGAGATAACGTGGACAATGTGCTTGCAAATATGCGCGCGCGCGCGCGCGCGGGCACGAGCGATCGTTGGTAGTGTTGCGAGGCGCGTAAGCGAGTGTTGGTGCCGGCCGGATCAACCCAAGCCCATTTACCTTATACGTACAAATAAATATATTATGCACTTTCACTCGAGAACTTTGGTCGTCACATCTTTATTCCTTTTCTTTGATGTTCTTAATATTGTTTTAAATTTTTAGCGGATCTTTATTTATAAATTTTATATATAAATAATTGTGATATCTGCAATTTTTCATGAATTTTTGGAAGTGATCCAATGTTACGAATTTTGTATTTTGTAAGTGACTAAAGTGATTCGAATCGAACGCGTGTCGCGTCATACGTTAGGCGTGAAAAAGTTCAACATGAGGTCTTGACTTTCGAATTATTAATAATAAAAACTTTAAATATATATGGCTATTCTCACCCCGTGTATTACAACGAATATAATATTAATTATATCCGTGCAAAGAGTTATATATTTCCTTTAAGCTATTGAGAGAAGAAAGCATTTCTTAATATTTACCTCTACAAGACGTCTAAAATGTATAACTCCAAGAAAAATGGAGCGGTAAGTTATACCGTGAAAAAGCTCCTTTTTTTTCTTTTTATGACTATGTGTTGTTGTCGTATAAAATTATATATGGTTTTATAAAAAATATAATATGTATATATATATATATATATATATATAAAATGAATGTAAATGTATCATTTTAAGATCCAAAAAATAATTTATTTTAATATTTTAATTAATAAAAATTCTTATGAGCTTTTGATAACGAGCATATAAAAACACATTGGATTATTTTTATAATACAGGCGTGCGTGTACGTGATGTTAAGATAGTCTCATTTAGTGACTTGAAAAATATATAATTTATCGAGGACGGTCATTTTTCCCCTCTCCTCTTACTCCTAATAATACTAATAGAGCATGCAAATTTACGTTTCTCTACCTGCAAAAATATTGATTGAATTAATTATGTAATCTCGCGAGGGCACATGTACTTATACACAATAATAAAAAAAGATAAAAAAGAAAACAAAGAAGAAAGAAAGCA